ATACATGGGCATGTATGTATGTAGTTATGAATAAATTTGAGTACGAACTATAAAGAAAAAAATTTTGTTATTCCTATAAAATATTTATGTATACCAATGACTACAAAATATTTACACATCTATTGTCTTCTATTATAACAATATTGGTATAAAAATATTTTTTAATTAATTATTCTCTGAATAGGAGCCAAAAGTTAATAGCCAGACAGGCGGCGCGGCACTTCTTTCACCACATTAAATTTTGTTAGAGTAAAAATTTTCCTTGGATTTTTTTTTGTTTTTATAGTTTTAATCATTTTTATTATAATATTTTTTCTTTCTGTTTTTTTCTTCTTCTTTTTCTTTATTTTCAGTCTTTCTCTTTTCTTTATAATAAGATTTTCATATATTAAAATTAATTCAATCGTACACAATATTGAGTCACGTTTTCGATCTGCTATGACGGGATTAAAGTTAAAAAAAAAAAATTTTTTTTTTATTTACTTTTACTACCAACTCTCATGTTTATGAATACTAAAAGAAGAGAGAAAAAAGAAAAACACTTTCTACCTCACCTAACACCTTTCTGTCGTAGACGTTGTGTAGTATACAGTATACTCCAATCATCGTCTTCGTCGTCTTCGTCAGTTATTTCAAATAACGGAAAAGTTCATACACATGCATAAGTTAATTTTCATTATTTTAATAACAGAATAGTAAATAAAATGTAAATTATTTTTGGGAAAAAAATATTTATATGCTATGTCTATAATAAAAATGTTAATTAGAAAAGTTTGGCGTAGTTGAATGAGAACTCCTCCAAATTACGGCGCAACAGTTTTTAAGTTCATAAGTTACATTTTTTCAAAATAATTTCGGTATTATTTTTTCTTCCAATACGTTTGAATGAATATTGACTTTACTTTGAATTTATTTTATAATAATTTTTATCATACTGGAACAACCCGTAAAGAAAGCTATCCCAAAAATCCATACCACTGCCTAATGATAATGAGCCTAAAATATTCAAAATGTGCAACACAATCTTGCATAAAATTTCACCTCACCTTATTAATAGAATAATTTTTGCTCATTTCATGTTCAATAGTGTTGCCTGCTCTTTCTTAAAAAAAACAATTTTTACTTTTACAAATCTAAAATATCAAACGACAGCCGAACTGTTAAACAATCAAATTGAAAATATTTTTATATTTTTATTTATTAAATAAACAAACTAATAATGAAAATTAAGATAACGAGAAAAATTTCAACAAAGGAATAAAGTCAACACATTAAAACTTACAGTCATAACACAAAAAAAAAAACAAAAAAAACAACAATAAAAAATTTTTGATAACGAAAATGACAACAAGCATTAAAATAGAAACAAGAAAAGAAAAGTACAAAACAAAAATTAAGAACACCGTCACGTCAGAAAATTTTCAACTAACAGATTGAATAGAAATGAAAACAGTAAAGACAACAAAAAAAAAAAAAAAAACAAAAAAAACAACAGAAAAAATAAAGCAAATAAGGTGAAACTGAAAAAAAAAAGAAAATTAACAGAATAAAAATCAAAACAAAAAATCAAATAAAATAGATTTAAGGAGGAAAAGAAAAGGAAAACAAAAAAGTGAAAAAAAAAATTTTTTCTTCTGTTGTTGACACAATTTTCATTGTTTTTTTTTCTTTTTGCTTTTGTTTTGATTTTAATTTTCCTTATGACTATTGGAAAATCATGAAAAATATCGTGGTATGTGTGTGTGTGTATTGGTTTATATCTAAATTTTTATCGGTTTTCTCTTTCCCTTTATATTAAGGAAAGCATTACGTTTTCGTTCAATTTTTAAAACAAAAAGATAAAAAAATATTTTTATCGTATCACCAGATTCAAGGATATTGTTAAGTACCCTCCCCGCCTCCTTCTCAATTTTATATAGAATTGTCATTAATTTGTAACTTTAATTATGGTCATAAAATATTTATTATGCGTAAGTACCTTCATATATACCGCAAAAATTGACAGTGAATTAAATTTTAAAATAAAGAATAAATTAAATAACCTTGATCAACACTTTAGGATATCTTGATCGTAATGTTGGAACTTTATAAATTTCGAACAAGTACCTACATATTATTAGATGGCATAGCTATTTTGGAAATAATTTAATTTCCTTCAAATTTGTTCACTTTACACAATTGTTCACAGGAGTATATAAATTAATTTTAAATAGGAAATGACGGTATGTAACTTGGTTACTCGTATATTTCAATGTACATTTTCAAAAAGCTTATATATATTGTATACGAATTTTAAGTATATAATTCGGTTAATTCAATGAATATAATTAAAATTATATTAATTGATCAGAGTTGGTATTCCAAAAAGATTATTTTTTGAAAAAAAATTATAATGTCTTTGAAATTCTGTAATGTATTATAAAAAAAAAAACCTGAAATAATGAAAATTTTAATAGGGTAATTGATTTTACATACACCTACATTATTTTTCTATATAGTATATCGTATCTAGCACCTGTAGTATATTGGTAATTTTAATGGCCAATCTGTTCAAGAATCTTTTTAAAATTGTATAAAATTATAATCGCCTTGTTATTGAGACGATAAAAATTGCATTATAAAATTAATGTAGGCAATATTAAAATTATATTGCAACTTAATAATACCTATATTACCTATTATTATATACATTGGGTGAAATTTGGATATTATGAATAGGTTTTTTCTTTGGCATTTATTGTTAAGAGACTCTAATACTTTGTTTTAAGAAAAGACTAAGAATTTATTTAAAAATCTTCATGGGGAAATCATGGGAAAATCGGAAGAATTCATAATGGAAAATATTAAGTGCCATATTATAGGGAAGTCGATTCAGAATCGATTCCGGTCGTCAAATCGATTTGAGTCTATAATTGCTATTAGGGGACATTTTATCACATTGAAGTTTAACTCTATATAGTCGACTTTGAAAGTAGACTATATACATTATGTAGTGGTAGAATGTAAAATATATTGAGTGAAATTGTCTGCCATAAGACGAACCAATTTACCTTAATTGAATCTTTGCTCTTGAGATTTAAGCAATAGTTTACAATTAAACAAATCTAATGATCAACTGAATTTACCTTGTATTATTGAGTACGTATAAGAGAAATTCATATATACCGTATAACCGAAAGTGTATATAGGTGATCCGTAAAAAATTTTGTGTTCTAGATAGAGAGAAGGGATTAAATTTTTTTAATTAATTACTCTTTATACCTATATAACAACTGTTCTACTTCAACAATTAACATTTATTTTTTACATTTTAATAAATTTAATACTACTCCATAAAAATTTTATTACTATCATAAATTTAAATTTTATAAGCAACTTCTATAGTTAACATGCACACTAACATTAAATATTAAAACAAAATTATTTATTTATTAGGTGCGAACTGACAAAATAAAAAACAAAACTAGATTATCTATTTTAATCATAAAAGCCTACACTTATATGCCTATGCTATATACAGTAGGACTATAGCTTTTAACTAGTTCAAACTTAAGTATGCGTAAATTTTTTTAATACTCATATTATGATTTATTTATTTTTTTAACCTAAATATTTATATTAGCATATTTTAAGGCTTTTATGAGTTAAAAACAAAACAAATTTAATATAGTTGAGAAAAATGTCAAAAAGGATTATGAAACTTATAAAATTAGTTGTTTATGAATCACGGAAAGTATTACAGTGTTGACTATAAAATTTTTAGAATTAATGCATTGTCAATTTCATAGACAACTTTAAATTTCAACTTTAGAATTAATGCATTGTCATAGAATTAATGCATTAGTGCAACTTCAATGAATTTTGTATGATTATCAATTGTATGATTTGTGTTTACTCTGTATAACGAGGTTGCTTTCATACTCGTTTAGATTATTTTGACATTTTTACAATCGTATTAATTTTTGCAACAACAATATGTTAACGATATTGATTATATAGATTATTAATTTGCCCTTGTTATTAATTAATCTTATAATTACAAAATTATACATTTATTTGATTAATTAAACATGGAAATTATAAATTACATACATATTTTATATGATAATCTTGAAGGGATAATACGCAACTTCAAAATAAGAATTCTTATCTCAAACTTAAAAATTTATTAGTTTGTAAATAACTCAGTTGTTCAAGTTCAAATAATAAGCTATATATTGTATGAGGACGCTATAGTTTCCTTAAATTAAAAAAATAATTGTATAGAATCAAAATTTTTTTTTCAAACCTAATTGGATCCTTCGTTCACATAATTAATTGAATTCAAATAATTCTTTAAATTTTAAACTAAATTGAAAGGAAATAGGAAAAATCTACTCAAAAATTATGTTTGTATAATGGTTTAATAAAGCAGATTTTAGAGTGTATGCATTTTCAAAATTAGGGCACAGGTTTTTATTGTTTGAATGACGGGCTTAAAGTTTCTCACCCATTATAACAAAACTTATGAAGGCGAACAATTGAAACCGAAACTCGTCGAAATTGAATAATAGAAACTGAAAATGATGATTGCCAAATGGGTCCGTTCATTTTTTTAACAAGACTAAACCAATTTTGTGTTCGTTAGTGGTTCAAATTGTTTCCTAGTACAAGGCATTTTAATTTTTAAGACTCCAAAAATTTTCTATACAATAATTAGAAATTTTGACTATTTCGAGCTTTATAATTATTATTTTTTTTTAATTTTTAAAATTGGTTTTCATATTGGCTGCAATTTTTTTATAATAGTAGTTTTTTATTTAATAATTAAAATTAATTTTAATTTTTATAATTTTTATTTTTATTATTTTTTCTTGCATTATGCTTAATATATTTTTTTTTGTTTTTCTTTTTTTTTTTATTATTTTTGGTTTCATAATTTATTTGCTTGGTTTCGTTTTTTAATATTTTTTATTGTTTTTAAAAAACGAATCGCATCTATAACAAAATTAAAAATATAGGTCTCGTAGAGCTAGCCAAGATGTCAACATTATGACAAGAAGTGCTGATTCTCTTTCGCCACCTATTAGAAGGTAAGTGGAAATATAATAACTATTTCATTAACATATACATAGGGTCTTGTAATGAAAATTATATAAGAATAATTTTATTTATAAAATAATATGTTAAAAATTTTCAATTATATTGAAATAATTTCCATAATAATTCAAATATAATTAAAATAATTAAATATTAATAAAATAAATATTTGAATAAATGTCACTTTTGCTGAATTTCTAGAGAATTCGAGAGAAATGCCGAAAATTAAAATAAAAATTAATTCTATATTAAATTTTAAAATTATTCAATGAAAAATTAAAGAATTTTATTGGTACATTGCCATAAGCGCCATTATTGAACCAGAAGAAATATTTTTTCCATGGCATTAAATTATAAAATTGAAATTATTATAATTAGATATACGTATGTATATGTAAATAATTTTGTAGGAAAAATATCTACAAAGAGTTTTATATGCCTTTCATGAATTGTTTATTCATTCATTCAAAATTAAAGCTATAAAACTATAATAAATTTTTATTTTAAAATTAATTTTATAATTTTTATGCATTTAATGCATTCTATATGTAAACACATTTTAATAAAACATTTGTTCAAATAAATCAAAAAGCAATCAAATTAATGAAATTAAATTGAACATTTACGATATCGTAATATAAAATATGCATATGTACAAATGTATGTGTATTCGTGTTCAAATTATTTATAAAATTTACAAAATTTTTATGTAAAATACATTAAATTTAATATTTTTAAACATTATAATCGAATTGTAACTAACATTAATTACGTTAGACCACAAACTATAAGAACACATTTTAGAATAAAATTACGCTAAAGAATATTTTTTCAAGATCAATGTAAAATTTGAAATCCGAAAAATTGTACCAAAATTTAAATACAATTGAAGTTTTGACAATTTTTTCGAGAAAACAGTCTTTGCAAATTTTTCGGCAAATTGCGTTATGGCGGTATAATTTTCGTGCGGATCCACATAGAACGATTTTCTGTTTATAACGAAGATTTTACGGTCAAAATATGGTCATAAACAAAAAAAAGCTTACCCATTCATATTTATTAATTAAGAAATATTGCAAAAGTGACATAAAAATTTTAAGAGTCAAAATATTGGAAATACATACATACATATTTACATAAATATCCGTGCCATATATAAAAAAAATAATTATTAGAAAAAAAGTAATAAATTCCAGTTTATCAATATTATTAATTGTCAGGTAAATAAACAACATAATTTATAATTTAATTAAAAAAAATATTTCATTTCTTATTAAATAAAATTTTAAAAACCAAAAAGAAATCAAATGGTTTTTGTTTTCTAATATAAAAAGGAAAAAATTAATAAAACAATTAAAATTTTTCACATTTCAATTTTGTTTTTCATATTATATACTGCATACATATACACGTACATACATTTCTTATAATTTATTTATTTTACTAAGTAGTTTTTTTTTACAAATTCATTTTGTTAAAAATTTAATTATAAAATTGCATGACATTTTGTTACTTAATTAAGAAATTAATGTTCTTTTCGCGCCTATTTAACTCAATTTATGAAAAGTTTACATATGTACATGAGCAACTTACATAATATGTACATATACTTGTAAATAGGTACATAATGAGTGTATGCTATTTAAAATGATTGTTATCTTCATTTATAATGTGAAAATATTGTATTACATTACAAAATATTTTTTTTTTTAAAATTGAAGGATTTTTTAATTTATTTCAATATCTAAAAATGGTTACAAAATGTGAAAAAAAAAACAATACCTATAGTCGTAATCTTGAATGTAGTAAGTATAAACACATATATAGTCATATATATGTATATAGTAGACACTTAAATAATTTATGCTTTTCAGAAAGAATAATACATATTTTATAAAGTACATGGTGTTATGAAAATTACTAGATAAAAATTAGAAAATATTTTTAAATAATTAAACAATTTAAAATTCGCTTTAAAATTGATTATAAATAGGCTTAATATCATATTTACAATATTTTCTGAAAATGAGTAAAAATACCATGATGATACCATGGATAAAAATTTTTTATAAAGCTAATCATTTCGCAATAATAATTATTTTTTGATTACACATCTATATACATATATAGGATTTATTAAAAAAAATTATTTAGGAAATAAATTAAAATACTTTAAGTATGTATTTAAATATATTATAAAACCTAATTATGTCAATTAACTATTCTCGATATATGCCAAACTTTCTGTCAATATTTTCTTGAATATGTAAAATAGCAGAAACAAAACAATCAAATATGTTAAGAGAAAAATTTTAAAATTATAGAAATTCATCTAGTTTCGGAATGGAAAAAATTTTTATAGCGTATTATAACGCCTAATAATAAATTTTGTTAAATTTTGTTTTTGGATTTTATATTTTCAAAACACCTTGTACTCATGTAACGAAACAAAAAAGCTTATTATAATATTATAAAAAAGCATAAATGCTACAAATGCAATATTTTCTGTTTTTTCACATAAAATATTACAAAACAAACGCTTCAATACACACAGCAACATTTTATTTTGCATTCTCACAAAACGTATTAAGCATAAATTTTATAATTTATGTAGAATATAACAGTTATAATGCGTTAATATTGATGTTAAATTCTAAACTACAATAATTAAAATTTTATAAATTTTATAGCATGTTGTTTTAATTTTTGTTCTAATCTGGCTTTTTGTCAGATTATTTGTTAATATTCACAATGTTCAAAATGTATGAACTTTTAAATAATATTATGTAACATATTTTAAATTATATATTAATATATTATGTATATTATATTCATTATTGTTTTAATTAATGCATGTTCGCATTAACCCTTATATTATAAGTACATATATTACTTTTTCATTGTTATAAAATATGCGTTTATTAATATAAATTTTGTATAACAATCTATAATGTATAATATGTATATGAATTTTTAAAATAATCATAATATTAATGTTTTTGCTCAAAATAATCATAATATTAATGTTTTTGCTCACTATGCTATATAAAAAAATATTTTTGTATAACAAACTTGCAGTATAATTATATATTAAATTATTTATTTATTAATATTAAAATATTGAATTTTAAAATAAATTTTTAGTCCCTTTTTATTTATTAATTTTTTTTAAATTTATTTTATAAAAAAAATATTAAATATTAATAAAAATTAAGATAAAATATGAATTCAATATTAATTAATTTAAAAAAATATTATTTTGTATCAAATTTACATTATGTTTTGTTAACGTCATAATTAACATAATTAAGAATTTTTTTTCCAAAAATCTTGCAAAACTAAAATTCAAATTCATAAAAATCGTGTAAATCGCCTGTAATTTAAAATTAAAACAAAAGTGCGCATATAAACAAAATTTTATATAACTGTGAACTGTGATAAAAAATAATTTCAAATATTTTAATAAATAAAAGTACAAGTGTAATAAATCATATTTTAAACGGTGGCTACGGTGATATTTTTAAATTTTTTCATAATTTCCTCATAATTAACAAAAAAAAACTCAAAAATTATTTCGGAGCTTATGCAATGTATTGAATTTGCACTGAATATTTGATAAAATGCCATTGATCGGAATTGTTTGGGATTAAATGCAACAAAACCCGACATTATTTTTAATTTAACAAAAATATTTTAATCTATTATACACTTTTAGTATAACATTAAAAAGTAATTAGTAATAAAAAAAATTTTAATGTAACTGTATAATACATGCGTCTTTTCAACACAAATTCCTTGAAAAAGAAAAATATGTATAACATTTTCTTTTACATTTACATATGCACATATAATTTCATTTCAGTCTCAATAAAATATTTCTTAGACAAACAAATCCGGAAAAACGCATATTATCTACATTTTTATAACACATTTTTTTTTTGCCTATTTTCAATAATTATTTAAATTCTTTACAAATATTCTATTCTATTTAAATTATATTAACTATTATGCACAATATTATAACATTATCTATATAATATTATACACTTATATAACAAAATCAATCAAGTAATCAATCAATCAAAAATTATTTCCTACTTATATATTATGTTTGCATATCCATGTATACTCGTAAAATATATATAAAAAAATTTTTATTGTAAATACTCTTGTCTCATTTATAAATGCTTTTTGTTTTTTTCTAATTCTAAATCCAAAATCGTGACCTAAAAATATGTATAACTTGTAATAGACTATAATAATAAATCAAAAAAAAAATTATTTTACAATTTCCTTAGTCTGAGAATTAAAAATCAAAGTTAACAATTTAAATATGTGCATACTCGTATACTCTAAAAGTGAAACTTCATTTGGAAAATAATAAGTTTGCATTACTATAAAAATTTAATATTGTCTTTTTTTGTGTGAAATTATGAAAATTTAAAAAAGCAAATAATCTTAATCTCAATAAATCACTCTGTTTCTTTGTTATTTGACTTGCCAATAAAATTGTTTGTTATGTCTACTAAAAATTCTAATTGAGATTCTATTCAAAGACTTAATGAAAATTCAAGTTCAAATCTTCATTATGAGTAGTTTTTATTGTTATTGTTAGGTATTTGAAAAGCTTTATACATATAACAGTTTACGCAATATTTCATTGATGTTAAATAGAAAAAAAAAATTATTCTAATGTTCTTAATTGATGGGCTCAGAAATAAAACCGCCTTACCCACATACATTTTTTACCGAAATTTAATGAGATTTAATATTTTATTTTTTTAAAATACTTTAAACGATTTTTCGAAAAGATAAGAGTAGGAATTTTAGTTTTCGTTTATTTTTATGAAGATGTTATTATTTTTAACATAATTTTATACACATTTTTAACAAAAAAGCAAAAATTTTGAGAGTGATGATTAGGATACTTTGCTTCTGAGCCTTTCGATTATATTTTAAAGTTGTAATATCGTAAAATCAAAAAAATTTCATGGGTTATATAGTTAAAGCATAAAATAATTTCAATGGAAATTTCAACATATAAAATATTATAAAAAATTAAATTTTCCGACAATTCCTTAAAAATAGAACGAAAATTCTTTTAAAATATAGCCTGGGAGTTAATAATAAAAATTTAAATTTTGATAAAATTCAATTAGAAATTTTAAAATGGTAGACTAATCGAATATTTTAAAGAACGATCAAAATCTTATGAATTTATTACATATGTACATGAAAAATTGCAATTAACATGAAAATTATTCATACCTTTTATAAAATAGTAAAATTTTCCTATTTCTTTAGATTTGAAATGCAATATAATTTGTTTGCGTGTAGTAGAGTATTCAAGCAAAACCACAATATTCAAGATTTTAATTTTTTTTACAATAATTAATAAATTCAATAAATTGTTTTTACAAAGATATTTCTCAGCATGAATTTTGAAAAAAAAATGTAAATATAAAATAATATTTTAATATAAATATTAAATGTGATCGATCACAATTTTAATTAAAAAACAAATAAGTGTAGATATGCTCCCTCTAACATACGAAAAAACAAATAAGTGTATAGTAACAAAACACAATATTTGACATTGATTTATCATTAACTATGATAATAATTTTATGGCCTGTTTTTTTTTTGTTTTTCTAAATAATTTCATTTAAGTAGCTATTAAAATTATACTAATATAGTGAATTTTTTTTTTATTTGTGCTCTCCACCAATCAATAAATAATTTTGTTTTTTTTATATTATTCAAATTTTTAAAAAATTTTCCTACTATTTACAATTTACAATTGTACTAAACAAATTCAATACATTCAATTATAATATATGTAATTGTGTTCTACAATAAAACTAATAATATTATAATATTATTTATATAATTTAAATAAAATATATGTATATTGTGGTTTTTGAAGTAAAATGAATGATTAATTACTTAATTAAAAAAAAAAAATATGGTAATAATTTAAATGCATTTTTAATCGTATTAAAAATTGTAATTATAATACGGAAATGCTTATTTGAAATGAAATTTGTATATAAGTATTAAAATTATAGAATATTGTCATAAATGCATCCGGTACAACAAAATACTCGCATATATACTAAATTAATATCTATAATTAATTATAATACACTTCTATATGCAATACACTTCTAATAATGACCAATGATAATTTTTTTTTTCAAAATTTTTTGTAATAAATATTTAATTATGAAGTTCATTTTAATACTCGTATTGCATTAATAATGTTTATGTGTAGGTTTATGTCAGATATTCTTAAACATATGAAATATACTTGTTAATAATTTGTTTTCATAGTATACCTTGGAGTGTCATAATAACATACATATAATATGAATTTTCTATATTATACAAAATACTTTAAAAAAAAAAAAATATTACGATGATTCTTAAAAATTTCATGGTTAAAAAATTTTCATGGTTTCATATATACAATATTATTTGTATATATATATGTTAAATATTTTATAAGTTGGGTTAAAAAAATACACATGTACGTATGTAGTTTTTGAGGAAATTATAATATTTTTAATGAAGAATGAATGAATGCACACTTAATATTAATTATGAAGTTTGTATATTTATTGAATTTGAATTTGTACAAAAAAAATTTTATATGATACAAAGAAAATATTAGAAAATATCAAACAGTTTCTGATTGCATTGTTTCAAATTATAAGAAGATTTATTTATTATAATTGTACAGTTATTGTAGTACAATTGTTAAATTATTATAAATTTTGTTAAAATTATAATGTTAATACAGAAACATGAAAAAAATTATAAAACTATATGTTTCATATGTAAAATACATTTCTATTCGAAATTCTTAATGCTAAAGAAGAGAAAATCATAATTAAAGAAGACTAAGTGTTATTCAAACTGGAGAGAATTTCCCTTCACATTGCATTCAATTAATATTTTAAATATTTTTTCAGTATATTTTAAATTTGGTTTATTTAAACAAATAATAATAGGGAAATTTGCTTTCCAAATGCTTTGCAAAATATTTTAATTTTGTAATTAACACACATTTAAGGTGGAATGCTAATTGAATTAATTAAATTAATGGTTAATTATGAAGAATTAACTGAAAAATGGAATTAAATTTTATAATTAAGTTAAAAATTATTGAATTCATATTCTATTTAAATTATTATAAATTTGTTATTCAATTTAATTTTTTCTTAATTTTTAAGTTTTAAATTTTTTTAAGTTTTTGAAGAAATTTTACTGAATATTGAATTTCTTTTTATTTGCATTCTTTTTTCATACATTTTAGGAGTAAATCAAGAAGTGTTGATCATGGCTTAGCAGCACCTTTTGATTTGGATTCATTAAGATCAAAAGTTGAAGGACGTTTTGAAAGTGTTGATCGTCTATCAAAAGGTAATTAACAATTATATAAGTATTATTTATTAAAATTATCAAATAACTACTTTGATATAATTGAAGCTATATAAAGCTTATCACATCTTTCTTAACAAGCATATTAGTTAAATTGTTTTAATGGTCTTCTTAAAATCGTTTTCGGGAAATGCGACAGACTACAAACAATACAAAAATAAACGCGTTTTATGGCTAAACTAGAAGAGATAGAGTGATTTTTGTGATCACTGGGAATCCACAGATTCTGCCAATATATGATAATAGGCTGTAGCAAAAATATTTTTGGAGATATTTAAAAAAATCTTTTGGAAAACTTTAAACGCGTTTTCTTGCTAAAATAGAAGAGATAGAGCGGTTTTAAGTGTTTATTGTGATCACTGGGAATCCACAGATTCTGCCAATATATGATAATAGGCTGTAGCAAAAATATTTTTGGAGATATTTAAAAAAATCTTTTGGAAAACTCTAAACGCGTTTTCTTGCTAAAATAGAAGAGATAGAGCGGTTTTAAGTGTTTTTTGTGATCACTGGGAATCCACAAATTCTGCCAATATATGATAATAGGCTGTAGCAAAAATATTTTTGGAAATATGGTTATTGTGATCACTGGGAATCCACAGCATCCGTACTAGGGTTTAATTCTCAAGTTTTTTTTATTTACAAATGGGCTTTTTAACAATTGACGAACAGACATATGTATACTTACTATTCGATATAATTGAGGGCATGAAAACAAAACAGAACAAGAAATTTCCTTTTGGTAAGCAAATAATTTTTGAAACAGTGACATTGCAAACACCTTAATAACGTACATGCTTCATTGTAAGCGTCTTAATAATGACACTGAAAGCCTGCCGTTAAATCGTAATTGTAAAATTAAATAGTTATTTATTAAAAATTTTTAATAATATCTAATTTTTCCATAAATAAAAAAACTTTTTATGACATCATTATTCATTTTGTTCCAATCCAATACATAAAATTCTTATTGATTTTACATAACACCTTATTTACTACAAATTGTTTGTTATAAAGAGTCGCCACATTTATTACTTTGGACAAAACAAAGTATAAATTATAGGTATTGCAATAAGACTACATGTCACCATACATGTATATAGAAGCAAATCCACAAAACAGATTTATTTTTGTTATATTTCCAGCGAAAATACGACTATGGTCAATTTAATCCATTATTTTTAAAATTTTTATCTTGGCATTCATCCAGAAGCGTTTTTGTAATACACGGGTATTTCTTCCATTGTACTCAAGGAAGTTAATCTCAGAGTTATCGATGATGGAATGAAGTTGAATATGTATTTTATTTCTGGATATATCCATAAAAATATCAGCAGCACAACCTAAAAAAAACTTATTCACACACAATTATTTGATTGATACTTCAAAAATAAATTGCTAAACCAAATACTGCTCTCCAAAAGTAAAATTTAAGTATAACTTACCAGTTCCAATATTTATTTTGAAGAAAAATCCATTTACTTGATTAATTCTAAACATTTCGCTTTCAATATGCATCTTACTTACAAATTATTTATGCTGCTATTATACTCGGTAGTATTTATTATTTTAAGAATTATTTAAATACGTCAAACAGTTATCATTATGAATAATTAAAAATGTTTATATTTACATAAGCTTAATTCCTTTTTATATTTTCATTAATTTTGTATATATACAATGAAATTTACAATGCTGCGTAAAGTTCAGTAGCAAGTTTGTATTTTATATGTGGCCTAGTATAAAGTACAATGTATCCATGTGAGTAATAGTAAAAAAACAATCAAATTTAAATCGAAAAGTTTGCTGAAATATTTAAATAACATGCACGTTTTTATTAAAAGAATACTACATATCAGTTGGCTAGAATAAATTTAATTAATCAAAAAAAAATGGGCGTACCTCTTTGAATTTTAGGTACATATGCACTCAAAACGAACAAAGTATTTCAAATATAACTACAACTATATGTCATTGTGAAAGTAGGGATGTATCAAATTATGCTGGTACCACAGGAAAATGCGTGGGTAATTACCCAAAAAGGGGGTAATTACCCAGATAAAGTTTGATGTCAGCAATGTTTGCGTATGCGGCTTTCACCACAGTCAGATTAAATCTTAGATTTTGTCGTTCTCACAAACTGTTCGTAGTACTACTTTGCAGTTAACTTTGAGTTGGTTACACAAAAATCGGGTTATTTCATCTTTTTCGGCTAGTTTTCAATTTTCAATTTGGAAAATTTTGTCAAGTTTTCCTTTTCTCCTGTAGCGAGCATTGCCAAACTTGCAATAGGGGCGTACTTACTTCTTTTTAATCAGGCCTTCATAATGAAATATGTGCAATATCCTAATATGAAAACCAGTGGAAGTCAAAAACTTTTATTTAAAAAATAATTAAAACAAATTCGTTTGCAAAATTTCTTCTGCACTGTTTATAAAAAAAAAAAGAATTGCAGTGCATTAAACGACAAAAGAAAATCACGTACTAAGCAAAAATCTTTCTGTTTGTAAACAACAACATTTTATCTTAAACTGTTTAAAAATTTTTACTTTTGAATCAATTATTTAATAAACAACAATTAAACGTGCTTTATAATCATAATTTTTGTTATGCTTTTACTATTCGTCGTGTCGTATTACCAAGTTAAGCTAAAAAGTATGGTTTAATTTACGGTCAAATTCCTAATGTGTAGCAATTGTTTTTCAATTTGAATACTCGAGTGTGTCTATGCAAATTGTAATAATTACGAGAATTAAAAATTTTGTTTGTATTGAAATTTAACGATTAACGAATTGAATTTTGAACAAATTGGATTTTAATAACTAAGAGATTTGTAAGGTGATTTACAAGCAAAGCCATTATTTAGTTTTAGATTCATAGAAGTGGTTTCAGAAGTAACTTCTTCCAAGAGTTGCAGTTATTAGAACCATTTAAAATTTCTTTATTGTAAAAATTGAGACCATAATTTCTATGTACATACGATATATTACTACTCGTATTAACCTAATACAAAAATTATAATTTTACTGAAATTCACACTTGCCATTTACTGGAATAATTCTTAGTACCAGGATTTTTTTTTATACTTACATACGAGTATATATGCATATGTGTACATAATATTCAAGAATATGCTGAATTATTCAAATTGTTGTAGCTTGGAATGTAAATATTTTTATAATTATATGTATATTTACATCATTGCAGATACACTTGCATTACGGGAATCTACTATGTATATATAGTTCCATATATATGTACATGCACTACTATATTTATTATCACGGCTAACAAAAATACTGCTGATATTTTTATTATGTCAAGTTTATTGTAAAAATTGAAAACAAATTCACATATCGTCTGCATTTAAATCACATTTGTGTATATGCATGTTTAACTATGCACACAATATATGTATATATATACTAGTATATAAAATTATAATCTTATATCAATTAGTAGATACAAAATATTTGATTACAAATATGGGATTGCCAAACTATTTATATAAATAAGTATAAAACAAATTTTCACTTGTTATCTTCATATTTACTTCACAACCTTAAAACTTTAGTGTAAAATTGAATTCGAGATATGTGAAAAATCTGTTCTTCTGTTGTACATGTATACTTCTTAATTATTTTCTATTAAAGTTCACTTATTAATTTAATTTAATGCTGATCACTCTTATAAAAAATTTAACAGACATATTGATCGTAAAATTTACTTAATTACAGAAAATGATTGCGAAATTTGAAAAACTATTATTTGAAGTTAAGCGAATAATGATTCTAGTTTTACGATCCTTACACGACATACGACAACGATATACGACAAAATCTAAGATTTAATTCAAGTCGAACTGTTTGACATTGGCTTTGTCTGACGGAAAATTACTGTAGTTCTCATTAGACTTATTGTCAAATTTTTTAATGATAAAATGATCAGCTATGATAAAATGATTACCTATTTATTTTTATTATAATTTTCGTAGCAAAATTAATAAATTTTGACGTGATGTCTGAGCTCTATCATTTTAGTCTAAATAGAGATAACGGTAATTATGCATGTATTATCTACTAATGTAGACAACTAACATTCATTCAATAATTTCATGATTAAATATTAAACAATGTCACAATTTTTATCACTCTGGTAACATTTCAATTCGTAGCTATAAATTTTTGAAATAATTGTTAAAATTATAGTTGAAATGATCAAAAATATAAGAATAAGATGGATAGAAAACTTGGATAATGAAATTAAGTGAAATACAAAAATTTAATATTTCAATCAGTTTTTAATCGTCTGCTCCCTTTTGCGGTTAGCTGCACTTAAAACTACACTATGCATATAAATATACTTATACAATTAAATAACAGTACAAAATTATTATTTTACGAGATACAACAAAAATATTGAAGTTTTGTTGTGAAATATATTTTTTTTTAAATAATAGAGAAAATTTTCAATTAAAATTTTTAACAAAAAATCATCTAAGAATTGAAATTAATGAAATGTCACTTTTTTTTAATTAATTGAGATAGAAAACAAAACAAAATTATTATAAAAAAATATAGAATTATTTTAAAGATAACAATTGATTAGTTTTAAATTAATTTTTATTTTTTGTTTGTTTTATTAATTTGAAATTAATTTTTAATGCTTGCACACAAATAAAATAGTGATTGTGATGAATTTTATTTAGTGTTCACAAAGTACTTCAATAAAACGAAATTAAGTTTGTGTTTGGTGTGAATTAAATAAAATAAAAATTAAAATATTTAAAAAATGCTTGTTCTCTGAGACGAAAAACACAAACAAATTATGATTGCGTAGTTTTTTTTTTCATTGTTTAATTAGTGTTGCTTGAAACAATTTGTAAACAAATGATTTTAAAATTTAAAAATATTTTGTAAAACCCACAAAATTTTATATTACATGTGTATACAATTATTGTAAATAATTTGTGGTGCAACAAGTGCTTATTTATTTAATTTATTGGACAAAATTCTGTCTGACAATAATATCGATAGCAGCTACAGAACTGTTAAAGCTAAAAGAATGCGGCGTTCGTACCTTTTTTTTGCTCTATTTATAGACCTTCATCGTTGTGGATATCTATCATACAGATTTTTTTCAGTCTGATTTTTAATCCGTTAAAACTGTCACTGTGAAGCCGAGTTCTTTCCTCTAATACGAACATTTTTTTCCTAAAAAGCTACAACGAATTACACTCGAAAACTTAAACACCAGTTGCGGACCCCCCCTGTATAAAATATGTCTAAAATGTACGCATTATATGTATATATATTTACCTAAATGGGTAGTACATAATTACATACATATGTATGTACATGTATTGCAAAAGTTCAATAATTATATTCTTTCCCAATAAAATATCAATTTCTTTTCTTATCTTTAAACAAACAGTTCTACTACTATACTATAGCTTTTATACATGTGTACATATATGATATACAGATGAGTCAATTTTAGTTTACCTATCATATTTTTTATAATAATAAATTTGTTTTATAAAAATGCGAATCAATGAGTGTGAATATATGAATGAGACTTTTGGATTTGTCGAAAATCAAATGTCAAAATTTGAAATTTTGTTTATACAAAATTTTTTAAAAAAAAATCTACTGTAACCCCCCCGAAATTCCAATATTATAGTTAAACTTTGATTTTTCAAAATTAATACTTTACTGAAAGGAATTTATTAAAGATTTCCCTTCTATGAAGGTTCCACTGTATTAATTTTGCGAATTTTTTACCACAAAAATATCAACCGGTGAAATTTGTTATCATACTTAACAGAGTTGTTTTTTTGTTTGTGCAATACACAATTTATGTACTAAAATAAACATTATGTAAACCAAGATTTATTTTAAAGAGTAGATATTTAAGACATTTATAAATAAATTATTTTACGCAAATATTGAAATAATTTTATTTTTATGTCAATACTTGATTTTTATACACAAAAAAAAAAATCGGTTTTCTACTAATCAGTTTTGGAAAAATTTTTGGACCATTACTCAGTATACGTTAGTATGAGAAATTAATTTAATTTAGTCAGAACAGAAAAAAAAATTTTAAATTTAAAAAATGGAAAATCTTTTAATTTATCGCAACAAATTTAATAAAAAAGAATTTGCTATTTTCGTATCAAAATCAAATTTAGAAATAAAACAAACAAAACTGTTATTGTTTGAGCATTTTATATTATTTGAATACACAAAACGACCAGAACCAAAAATAAACAGTTAAGTCACAAATCTATATTATTTATTTACACATATACGTGTGTACTTTTTCCTATACATATTAACAAAAAATAAAAATAAACTTTTTGATACAAAAAAAAAAAAAAAATAAAATTAATTTAATTTTAATGTTTTGTAGATGGCGATAAACTTAAAAAATCATCTTTACCATCGATACCAACCACAAATTATACGGTTGGTAATCGTGATACACTTACATCAGTTGCAGCACGTTTTGATACAACACCATCAGAGTTAATGCATTTAAATAAATTGGCTAGCAATTTTATATATTCAGGACAACAACTTTTAGTACCAGATAAATCAGCTGTTGCTGATAATACATCAACAACAGGATCAACAAGTGATGATAAAGTATCAACAGCATCTGGTAAATCAAGTCCTATTGAAAGAAATATATCAACAGATGCAACAAATGAAGAAAAAGGTAAAAATAATTGTTAGTATGCTTTTGATTTATTTTTACAAAATAAGTATTTTAACTATTAACGGATATACTACTTGTATAATATTGACACATACATACATATTGATATTTTGTTTCGTGAGGATTGCAAAATTAATTGAAATGAAAATAATAGGTGTATGATTAATGAAAAATAGAATAGGTGTATATGTAGGAATTTTCAGTACCTTAAAAAAAAAGGTATCAAATAAAAAATACTCATTTAATTTGATACACAATTATATTTTTAATTCATATATGTTGTCATCTCTATAAGGAAAAAAAATTTCTGAAAGCAAAAGCTTTTATTTTGAATCGAGAGCTTTTATTTCACTGTGGTGAATTTGTTTGCTGTCAATTCAATATTTTTAATTTCACATCCCATTTGTTTTTTATATCTTTCCAAAACATGTGTTAAATGTCACATTATGAATTTGACAGCTAATTTTTTTTTTATTATAAATGTCATATTCTGTACAATCAGATTTTATCGGTGAATTGCTACTTGCTGGATTTATTTTGAATAATTTTTACTACGACTAAAATTTTAATTTATATTTTTCTTGCAATGCAATTTAATTAAGGAGCTATTTTAATTAAACAAATGTAGTCAGATATTTATTTGAAAAAATTTTATTTAAAACTAAAAACATTCCATAGTAGCTGTTAAATAAAATTTTAAGTTTTCAAAAGATAATGCATACGGCAGTGTTTTGGAAGGATGGAGGTGATTATACATTATATTACAAACATACATACATTATTTACTGTTCTTGTATTAAATTATGAATAATAACAATTGATTAAATTCAACTACTTTTTTTTTATAATCAAATTTTTTTTGATATCATAAAGATTAGGTTTCGCGTAGGTAATAATAAAAAAACATAGAATTAACATGAAGTAATTTTAGGGTAATTTTTCATAATTTAAGACAATACGTAGTAGGTGCCTACATAATTTACCTGCTCCTATTATATTTTCTATTTATTTATTCACTTAAGTGTCTCCTAAAAACTTTACTTATTTAAACAAAAGTTGAAACTAATCTCGAAATTTCAATTCAAAATTCATAAAATGGGCTCTTATCTGCTCCAAAATTTTTTTATTGTTTTATTCTAAAATAGTTATATGTGTCAAATTTATTTAGTTATGTACATATATAAGTACACATATTTACATACATACGTTGCGTTACGTAGGCACGTTTAATCTATGAAAATTCAAATAAATTTTGCATATATGTATATAAATACATATGTATGTACATACCCACTCCATACCTACTTAAACGAGTAAGATAGGAAATTTTTTGAAAAGTCGTCCAATATTTATTTTTCATATTTTTTTTTATTTTTCAAGGTTATAATAAAATACTTATTTAGTCATGTTTTTTCTTTTTTTAAATTAGATATTCTTGATGGATTAAGACCTGGTTCACCAAAGCCTGGTCACATTGAACGTGTTAGTACAGAAGGTAAAGAAGGTGGGGATGATCCAGTTATAACACAACGTTTCCTTAAAATAAATGTTCGGCACATAACCGATGGCCAGGGTGTTGTTGGTGGTGTTCTATTAGTGACACCAAATGCTGTTATGTTCGATCCAAATGTTTCAGATGCTTTAGTTATTGAACATGGCCCTGAAAGTTATGGTGTTATTGCTCCTATGGAGTTGGTCGTAAATGCTGCCATATTTCATGATATCGCACATATGCGGGTTGCTGGTACAGCTGGTATAGGTAGTGGTGGAGGCAGTGAATTATCAACGAATCAGAATGAGAAGATTGAAGTTTATTATCCAAAACCGAAAGATTCACCGCGATTAGAAGGTACACAGTCTCCTGGAAAAGATTCATTATTAGTTAAAGATGATACATTTCCGGAATTAGGTGGCGTTGGTGTTAGCTCAGTTGAAACATGTGATGATCAAGAATCGATTGCATCTAGTTCTGGACGTGATGGTAATGCATTTCCAAAGGCATTCGAAAAGGATCGTGTTACACCAGTATCAGAAAACAGCTCAGAAAAACAAGATAAACAACCTGAAAATGATTGTGAGAAAGCAGATACCAAAGGTTGAAAAATTTTTTTCTAATTACAAAACTAGATATATAATAAGATACATATATGTTTTTTAGATACTACGAAGACTGAAAGTATTTGTGAAACTCAGGCGGAAAAAAAAGAAGCATCTGATAACGAAATTAAGAAAGATGAATTAGTTGACTCACGTTCTACTCTTGAAGAACGAAGAAAAAGTCTTTTAGACCATCATTGGGCAATACCAAGTAAAGATAGGTAAAGAGAAAGCCTTATAAATTTTTTGCAAACTTTTTGTTAGTTTATGATTTCATTTAATTGTATTTTTTGTTTATTTTTTTATCAAGCATAAACTTATACATATTTTACATTCATAATTATTAAAAATTAAATTTTAATTTCGAATTGGATCGAATTATTTTCATCTTTATTATTCGAATATTCATTTTTAATTGGAATATAAAACAAATTCAAAATTTTCATTATTCTTTTTCTAATAAAGTCTTATTCTTGCTAATAAATTTTCATGTTCATAAATTATAATGATCAAATTAAATTTTTTTTTGAAAAATATATTCTGAATTTAAAGAAAGTTTTTCGGTTAAATATTCCTTTTGCTGTAATGAGTAAACAATATAAATTTTTTGACAAGATCCATTATCCTCTGTTCACTTTCATATTTAGTGTCACATTAATCCAAAAATTAATTAAAGAAAATAAAACAAATTTCATGTAAAAAAGAAAAAAAATTACGAAGAAAGTGAAAAATAGAAGTTAGTATTGTTCATACTATTATAGCATTTAAACAAACCTATTTTTCAAAATGCGGCTAACTGTTGTAATTCTATTGATAGCCGCAAAAAATTACCTTAGCCACAAAACGCTTAATATTATTAATTTGCTAACATCAAAATACAACTAAAACTAAAAATCTGCTTATGCAAACGGAAATGAATAATAAAATGTTCTGCTAATTAATAAAAAAATAAAAACTCAAATAATTCTTAATTTTTCAGTCTACACTGAAAATGCTCTTTTCGCAGATGCTTAAATTTAGCAAATAGAAAATATTTTACAATTATATAATTTTGGATTTATTTTAAAATTATTTTATTTCTTTTTGTTTCGTTTCATGTAATGTTTTTTATTTTATTGGTTTTCATTTTCATCATTTACATTTTTGTTCGGTGTTTGTTAAAAATATATAAAAAAACAATTTATTGCAAAATCCATTTACCTATCCTTTCCATCCTTTTGGGGGAGAATGTAAAACTAAAAATATCAAATTTCATGATTCAAAATTCTCACTTCGTAAATAATTTTTATAAAATAAATGTGTTGTTATGGCTTCACATCATAAATCAAATAAAATAATCGAAAAAAATAAACAATTATACTAATAAAAAGAATTAGTTTAAATAATTCACGAAGATCTTCTGAAGATGAAGGTGACCTGTTCAATAGACGAATTTCATGTATATCCAATTGTAATAATATTTCCACAACGACAAGAAATTCTATTCCCGATTCAATAACTGAGAAAAATGATGCTGAATTAGCAGCTGCTGTTACAGAATCTCTATTAAGATTAAATCAAGAACGCCGTAATTCATCAGGTTTTCCACTATTAGATTCTTTAAGTGGTTTTACTTCACAATGCCGAAGTAATTCAGTTAGTGGCACAACTGGTTTGATTGGTTTATCCGATGGTAAATACTGCAATAATAGTAATATTATTGCACCTACTTCTTTATTGACAACAGCAGCTTTAAACAATATAAATAATGTAAACAGCAATATTAATAATAAAAATATAAATAATTTAAATAATAATATAATAAATAGCACAATTAATAATATAAGTGCTGGTCTTGATTTTGAAAATGATAATGATTCATCATTACAATCCTATTATGATTCTGGTATTGATATCCGTGATCCTATTCCTGTTGTTGCACCTATGCCAACAAAAAAAGTTTTTAGTGATGCTGATATTGTTCTTAGCTCTGACTGGGTACCACCACGTACAATATCACCAACACCGCTTGGTGAATCATCACCAAAACCATCAACAACAAATTTACTTTCGCAACAGACACAAAGTTTAGATACAACTCAAACAAGTCCCGGTGGATCAGGTGGTCGTAAGAAAACATCAAGTGTCAGTTTTAGTGTTGATGAGAATAATGAAAAAGAAAAGTTATCAGACATCAGTGATAAAACAGGCGATCAAAATAAAAAGAATAAGGTATTAAAAAATTCTATAATATGCTAGTTGCACAATAAATAATTTGGTTATTTAATTTTCATAATTATTTTAGATGTTAAAACGATTATCATATCCTTTGACATGGGTTGAAGGGCTTACTGGTGATGGACAAACAAAACCAAATGAATCAGTTGAATCAGCTCCAAATACAGGTGATTCAAATCAAAGCGTATTTTCCAAGGTGTTTTCAAGGTAAGTGAAATATAAAGAAATATTTTGTATTTTTATTTAAAAATGGGTTACAATATTTATTTATTTTTAATTAAGAAAAAAAAACTGTACGAGTTACGAGTATATGACAATTAAAATATATTTTGTTTTATTAGCGTTGAAAAATTATAACAAATTTAATTAAATTTTAAAATTAATCTAATATTTTACAATTTTTATCTTTCTTTCTACATTCTTTTTGATTTTCTTTGTTTTTTTTTTTACTTAAATTAATTTTTTAATCAAATTTATTTATGAAATAAAAAAAATTTTAATATAAAATGTAATTTTCTTTTAAATTCAAAATCATCTAATTATTCAATTTTCCTTTTTTTTTTTAATTTACATATTATATTGAAAACCCTTGTTTTGTTTTATTTTAAAAACACTTATGTGCATTTCACAAATCATTTACAAAAATAATTCCACACATTTAAATACACAATCAAAAAAAAAATTAATTCAAAATATTTTTTTCTCAAATACGAACATTTTTGTGTTAACAAAATTTTTATTTAATTCGAAAAACAAAAAAAAACCCAAAATTTCTTTTTTTTTTACAAAAATTGTCTTATATAATTAATTTTATTTTGTAAATATATACGTGTATATAAATATATTTGCAAATTGATGTATATATATATATATATGTATATTATAAATAAATTTCAAAATAAAATGAATAGTTCGCCCATAACATTGGTATCTGAATTGGGTGGAAATTTATTTTCAAAAACACCATCTGAAGATTCTGGAGGTTCTCCCGTACCTCCAGTTACACCACATTCGGAAGGTCATTCAACCCCCGGGTAAGGGCATTTTAACAAGTGAAACATTTAAAATAGATCCTAATAAATTTCATGTATTTTTGTATAATATTGTTTTTCTAAATCAATGCTCTTGATATGTTGTTTTCTTTTAATTTTTTCATTTTAAATTTTTAATTTAAAATAAAATTTTTATTTTTTTTTTTGTAAATTTGTGATTTTAATTTTGGAAATAAAAATGTACAAACATTTCCGATATTATTATAAAATATTTCTTTTGTCCCAATATATTTTTCTATATTTTTTTTTTTTTTTTTTAATTTTTGTTTAATAATTGAATTATTTGAGAATGGATTGTATTTTTATTTTCATAAATGTATTTTGTAAATAAAATCTATGTACTATATTATAAAAAAAAAAAATTTGTGAAAAGTAGGGTAGCTTTTCAATAATCGTCTATGAGTTTCGTTTGTGTATTTTTTCTTTTGTTAAATAACAGCTAAGAAATATCTATAATAACCAGATTTTATTTTTGTAAAAGAAAATGCATATTATATTATGTATTTTATAAATTAAAATATTTCAGGGGAGATTTAAATTTTTATTTTGTATTGAAACTGCTTGGAGATATCTATTAAATTTTCGATTTACCTATATACATGTAAAAAAATTTACATTATTATTATGTTTTATATAAAGTATATTCTTTTCTATCCTATCATTACATAATATATTGTGCTATATTATTCCAAATTCTAATGAAATCTAAGTAATGATTCCAAATATTTCAAATTAGATCTGATAGCAAATTTGTTCATATAAAAATTAAAAAAACAATTTATCAAAGTGTTCCCAATAACATAAAAATTTTTGGAACATAAATTCAAATATCGTATCAATCATCTATATTTAAATATTTTCATTAAAATTCATTAACAACATTAAATTTTTTGTTTTTTTTTTTTTTTACTTTCATCCCAAATTAAATTTAAGACCTATATTCGATATTTTTCTATTAGATACTCTTTGAATGTAAGAACTAAAAATTTTATGATACATCAAAATAAATTTATATTAATTTCTGTATGAATTTTATAATATTTAAAAAAAAAAAAACAGAATAGTAAGTTCTATATTTGAATGAAATCATATTTATGTATTTATCACAGCACGTATTTCTTAAATTTTGTTCTAAATTGCACACACTATTATAATATATATATTATCAATTCTTGAAATCTTAAGAAATAAGTTTTCACTTTTACGTTCCTATTTAAAATATCAAGTTAAACAAAAAAGAATAATTTAAATTTTTATAAATATTAATTTTTAAAAAAAATTTTTAGACGTTCATCAATTGGTACATTTATGCGACCAAGTTCAACGGATGGTTCAACGTCATCTTCAGTTAAACAAAAATCTCAACCACCTCAACCAAAATTGGATTATCGTTCAATGGTGTCAATTGATGATATGCCTGAACTTTTTGTTAGCTTTGATAGTAAGTATAATTTATTTAGGCAATAAAAAAAAATTGGTTCTTTTAAAGAAAATAGTTTTTTAACTTTACTTTTTTAAAACGTTTTAATTTTTTTTTTGTTAAAGAGAGAAAATTAAGTAAATAAATTTTTTTAATGTGACTTTGTGTGCCATTAAGTAAATATTTTTGTAGCAAATTTTTCTTAAACTAATTAAATATTATTTAAATTTTAAGTTGAAAATGAAATTGATTTTATTTACTTAATTTTTTTCTCTTATTACTAATTACAGTTTTTGCATTTTGATTTCATTTTTAAAATAGAATTTAATTAAAAAATATTTTAGATATTAAAGAAAAAACTAAAATTATTTTTTTAATATATTTTTTTTTTGCACAAAAATTTTCATTAGAAAGTTTTCACTAATTATGTGATTTAATTACTTTTTTTTCCTCTTCTTTTATTAATCTTAAATTAATAATTAAATTTTCTTCATTAATATCATAAATTAAAAACAAAAATCAAAACAAAAATATATTTAAATATATAAAAACATAATATAAAAACGTATATGTAATAATATTGTTATAAATATGTATGAATATTTAAAATATGTATTTACAAAATAAAAACAAATTTTATATGATTTATTAAATATATACATACATACATACATAAAAAATTAGTGAGAGCACCACTGTTTCCACAACTAGAACTACTCGGTATGTTTAAATATCAAAAAACAAAAAAAATATAATAAAAATATTATAAGAATGTAAGAAACGAAAAAAAAACAATACCTATATATATTAATTATATTTCTATATTATAAATATATTAAATATTTATATTATATAATTTATATTAAAAATAAAGTAATCTATATATGTTGATGCCTTACTATTATAATAATCTATAACTGTGATAACCCTTATAAATCTCTTCAACTATTATATTATAATTTCTAATATTATCAATGATATTATAATGATTTGAAATAACTTTCGCTATGCAATTTTATTTTCACTCTATACAATATTTTAATTATCTTCTTAATTATTATATAAAATCAATCAAAAATCAAATTTTTAAACAATTTAAATTTCTTTTAAATTGTTTTTTTCCTTCGTAATATTTATAATAAATATTTAAGATTTAATTGTAGAAAACACATGAAAACTGTTATAAATTTTAATAAATTTGATTTTTCAGATTGATTAAGAAAAAAACAACTCCAAAAATCAAAAAAAAAAAAAACAATATAAAAACTTAAATACTTACATGTGTTACCCCTCATTCCAAGCATTTCACTAAGATATTTTAAACCTTATTTTATTTTAAAGCAAAAAAAAAAATTATTCTAATTTTATTTTGCTTGAGTGAATCTTTGAATGTTATTTATAATTAAATATTAGGATTTATTTTGTAAAATTATTATTTAAATTTTAATTTCTAAGTAAGATTTTAATAAAAATTTTAATATTTGATAATATTTTTAACATTAATACATAATTATTGTTGTAATCAATATCAAATTAATTATATTTTTTAGAATATTTCACAGTTCTTAATTTAATCGTGAAAGTTTCAATTCAATTTATAAAATTTACTTCATGAAATGAAGATAATATTTATGGAATAGAATTAAAATAGTTATACTAATTATTAATCAATTGATTAATTAAATAAAATAATGAGAACGTATTCTTTTTCTTGTAATTTTTAATTTGAGAAATAAAATTTATTTAATAATTTGTAAATTTTTACTTATATTGTTTAATAATTTCCATATATCCATATTATAAATTACTGTTCTTCTTAAAATCGCAAATATTTTATTTTCTAAGATTGTAAATGATGTTTTATTGATTATTATTGTAATCTTGTTTATTGCCGAACAATTTCCCTAAAATTAACCGTGATTTATACAAGATAGGAGACTAAAGGAATTTAATTTATGTAAACTTCTTTAAATTTAAAATTGTGTTATTAAAAAATTTATAAAATCAGGTTAGGTTTTCTCTATTTTTTAATTATTTTTTAATTATTAATTTAATTTCATTTAAAATTTTTCTTGTACAGTATTGTATTGTCCTTTAAATAAGTACGAATCTTCCTTCTCCAATAAAATTGTTTAATATATTGTAAAAAATGTATTTAATTGCAATAATTGTACTTTCTTTTCATTATTTAGTTATGAATTCACTGTCTATTTTAATCGACTTCCAAATTAACATTTTCAGAATAATTAATTTTTTTTTTTCAATTTATTCAATATTTTAATAATGTAATTAAAAACACCTTTATAAACATAATGTAAATGTATTAATGTAAATATACAAATCTAATTTGTATAAATTTTTTTTTAATTATTAATAATATTATTGGATAAAAATTTTTTAATTTGATTTTAAAGCAAATGGTTTAAAAAAGCTTTTGCATGATTTATAACTCTTATAATATTATAATAATTTTATTAAATATAATGAAATAAATTTGTAAAATTATTAAATTTAAATGAAAATTTATTTATTAATTTGTTTTTTATCTGTTTTTTTTTTTTTTCTTTTCATTTCATTTAATTTATGAACTTCTCCATAATTTTTAATTATTTTAATAAAATAAGAATTAATTCCTCGACCGGCTCGTGCCTGCCAAGATCCACCATTATATTTGAGATTACGTATGGGTAAACCAATAGGAAAAGCTATACCATTACCAACATCAGTAATGTCATATGGTAAAAATAAATTAAGGCCAGAATATTGGTTTAGTGTGCCGAAAAATAGGTAAAAATTTTAATTCATATTTATTTAGAATATATTTAAATATGTTTTGTATTTGTTTTTTTTTTTGTTTAAAGGGTTGATGAATTATATCGTTTTATAAATACATGGGTACCACATTTATATGGTGAATTAAATGAAGAAGAAATTAAAGTTCGTGGTTTTGAATTAATTCAACATGATACAGAATGGACGAAAAATAGTGCTTCGAAAGAAGGTCGTAAGAATAGTGATGGTGAAGATATTACTGAATTAACTAGAGAATCATGGGAGGTAAGTGAAGAAATTCATGTTATTCTTTTAATATATATATATATATTTAAAATATAATATTTAAATAATAAATTTATATTTATATGCAATAAGAATATTTAATTGATAATTATATTTAGATTAAGAAACATTATATAGAATTGGAAATAAAATAATTACTTAAAATTTTTTTTGAATATTATTGAAATTTAAATGAAAATAAAAATAAATATTGTGATTTTAATTTTTAATTTAATAATTTATTTTCAATTCTAATAATATTGTTTCTTAATCATATTTTTTTTCTATAAAATAATATTATTATTTTTCATTTTATAATTATTATATTTTCTAAATAATATGAAAATATTTAAAAAAGAAAACTATATATACAATATATATTTAGAGTTATAAAGCAAAAAAAAAAAAAAGCAAAAATAAAAGTGTGTTTTAAAAATTCATCTATAATATTTTATGATATTGTTTATTATTCTTTTTTCTTAAATTATTATTATTATAAATAATATATTAATTAACAATAATATTATATAATATTAGTTTAATTTTTATATATAATAAATATTTAAAATCCTTTTTTTCTATTTTTTTTTTTTTGTGAATTTATTTTTAAAATTTTAATATTATAATCGATTGTTGCAAAAAAAAAATAACGTTGAATATTTCGCTATATAATTTCGAAAAAAAAAACCAAAATATTCGTCAAAATATTTATATGATAAAAAAAACTAATAATCTCTGAAAAAAAAAATGAAAATATCAGCTTTTAAAGGCGCCCTTCGTTAAAAGTTACAACATTAGCAAAGATTTTATCAAAACTGCGGGAGAACAAGATTTGGATTTCTTAGGTTCCGAGGTTAGGAAATAATAATGAACCTTTTGTAAACTTTAAAAAAAAAAGTTTTATTAGAAGAAAAAAAAATTTATTATGTTATTTTATTTTTATTTTTCCTTTTTTTTTGTATTTTAATTATAATTTGTAGTTTTACTTATCATTTACAAATTAGATTTCAAAAATTTTTTTAATAAATAGAAAAATTTAAATTAAATTCAAATTTACTTCCGATATTCAAATTATATTCGAAATATTAATATTTTTGGAGAGTGAATTTATATAAATATAGAACAAAAATATTTTATTAAATTAAATTAAAAGAATTTTTGAAATTTTATATTAGAGGTATTCATTTTAAAAAATTAATAAACGAAAAATTTAAATTTAAAATCATTTGTAAATAGTCCATTAAATATTGTGTAGACTTTTTCCAATAGTTTACAATAGTTTTCTCTGTTTCTTTTTGTTTATTTTTGGAAAAAATTCAAAATTTAATTACATTTTTTTTTTTAAATATTTGTAAATATAATAAATGTGCATATAATAATAAAAATAATAGAAAAAAATGTTAATATAACAAATTATATAAAATTAGAGATAAAACGCTAAAAAATTTTATTTATTATTTATATAGTATATAAACATCGAAAACTTATTTTAAAAATTATAATTAAATAATTTATAAAAATTCATAAATATTTTGCTTGAATATAAAATGCATTTGTTAATATGAATACCCCTATTATTTTATTTTCTTTTTTTTTTTTATTTTTTTTTTCTATTTAATGTTCGAAATTCACCTTATATATAAAAAAATATTATTATTTTTATTATTGTTTTTTAATTTTATACGGAATTTTAAATAATTTTAATATTTAAAATTCAAAATAAAAAACAGTTGTTGCTTTTATCAACAAATTAGGGAATTTTCACACACACTGTTAATGAAGAATGTTACCAATTACATTAATTTTTGTTAATAGTGAGAAAAAATAAAAATAATTTTTGTTTTTTTTATCCTAATGTTGTTGATTGTTAGAGAAGCACCTTAAATATTTCAATAATTATTTTTAATTAATTATTTTCTTATTTTTTTTAATTAATTATTTAAGTCAAAAACCGAAAAATGATCTTATATTTTAATTTTAATTTCTTCTTTTTTCAGTTTTCTTGAAAACTTTTTTTTGTATTTCGACGCTTCTTTATAATTTTTCATTTAAACACAACAACATTTTTTTTTCCTCTGTTCTTTTTCTAAGAATTTAAGTTTTCTTATGAAAAAATTTTTGTTTAAAAAAACAAAAAATAAGTTAAAATAAATAATTGATAAAAAAAAATAAAATTCATGTAATAAAAAAATTAAAAAACAAAATCTAAATAAAAAACTTACAAAATTTTTATTTTAACACAATTAGACACCAAAATATTCTTAAAAATTAACCATACATACACATTATAGTTGAGTAGAAATTGGAACCATTTTAATAAGTATATTGCTAATTATGCATAGGGGTGAACAAAGAATATATTATTTGTAGGGGTTAAAAAATAATATCAAAATTTAGTGCTATAATAGTTAGATTTTCTTATATATTTTAGAAGTATTTTGAGTCCTATATCGCCCGATTTGTGAATATTTCTGAATTTTAATATTTAAAAATTGATTAGGAATAAAATTATATAGAAAAAACATAAATTTATATTTAATTATTAAATAATTAATAAGATAGTAATTGATTATTATTCGAATTTCATTATTATTTGAAAATTATAGGTTGTAGTCTTAATAAAAACTCAAGCTACTCAAATATATAAAATAAGTAAGGTTTATCAAAAGCAAAAATGGTGTGAACTTAAATTGGGTTATTTTAATATTCGATTAACGCATTAGATTGTTTGACATCGATTAGTTTTGACATTTTTGATGTAATCATTTTTTTTTCTATTCTAAAAATTCTTAAGTAACCTAAAATATAGTGTCACCAATTAAATACTATCAAACGATTTACAAATTTGATTTATTGTTTAAATTCTAAATCTGATTTAAAATTTTACATTCATATATTTCATATATGTATGAAACCGCTGTTACTGAACTGAGAATAACTGTTACCTTTATTTGGGTTTACCATTTTTTTTACAAATTTTTGTGCTAATTAAATATTTGGCTCGAAACAAATAGTTGTCGTGCTGCAAACTCCTGATTATTATCCGTTTAAATAAATTAAAAATAATTGAAAGCTTTTTTTTTGTAAATTTCGAAGACTATTTCAAAGAGTTTTTTGTTATCCAAAAACTTAAAAAATTTGATTGTATTCTTGGCAACTATAATCATAATATTTTATTCCAAAATTTAAATTTTTTTTCAAAATTAAATCTTATAATTTCAAATAAAAAAGTCAATAATCTTTGGAATAAAATTTTTTTCTTGAATTTATGATTATTTAATTTTAACCATGTTAAACAAACAATAAATGTACCAAAAAATTTATTTTTTTTTATAATATTCAAATTTATTCAAATTGTTGATTATGAATAAAAATTATATAGTATATATGTATATATTATTAATTCCAATTACTACTTTCTAATTATGTGTATAGAAATATTGAAATAATCTTGAATTTCAACTTTTAAGGAAAGTTTTAAAATGAATTTTAATTGTACTACCCCAATGAATATTAATGGTGGTATATTGATATAATATTAATTTTACACATGGGGATTAATAATATTGCTAAACGACATAGTGTCTGAGATGATTTTAATTATAATATTGTCATTATAACAGTCGCCAACTCAATTAATATGAGCTGGTTTAGAAAAAATTATTACTAAGGACTTAATATTATTAAACAAGTTTGATATTCATAAAGGGAGTATTTTATCGTACACGAAATAAAAGGTGTAGACAACAGAATTGTTTAATAGTGTTTAATTATAGTCTTTGAACTGTTATTAATTTTAAAAATTTGTCAGATAACTCTTGTAATAATTTTTTAATTAAATTATCAAAAGTTTTAATCATCAAATTCTTAAAATTCCACTTTAAATTGTTTAAAATTAATTAACTTTCAGTTCAAATATTTTCAAAATTTTAGGCTTCTACTGTATTTAAGAATTAAATTTTCATTCATTTTGACATGACCTTAGTTCAAAATATGTAATTTAAAGTCAAGATAATAAAATATGTAAAATACAAAAATATTTTATTTATAAATGAACCAATCCATGTGTGTATGATGATTTTAAAATTTTTTGAAATTATCAAAACTTATTTTTGCCTTCACGCGACAACTTTTTTCTTTTTTTGATTTTTAAATAAATTTTTTGTAAATAAATATTTTTATATTATTCACAAAATAGCCGGTGTACTAAATATAGATTTTATTGCCATATATATATAGTAATAAAATTATATTATGATGAATTCGTGAGGTTACATTCAATTTTTAGTACCATTTTTATATTATGTATATTGTTGTCGAAAATTTGTCAAAATTAAATCAAAATTTTGATCAATAAAAATAATAGGTTCATAATTTACATATCCATAAGTAAGTTTTCAAAAAAAAAAAGAAAAAATTAATTGATGTAGCTATGTAAATTTTTTATAACGACTTTATATAATGACAATTTTGAAAATCTTGCTAAATTATTTTGAAATTTTTAAAATTTGTCATAAATTATGTACTGAAAGCGGCCATTAAAATTTACTTGCCGTAATTGTTTTTCAAAAAAAAATTTTGTTTTTGGTACTGTAGCTGTGTTCAAATCAGAGTATAGCTGTGTTCAAATCAGTATCAGCTGTGTTGAGTATTCATAACATTTTCAATGTTCGATCAATATGCATGACCAAAATTCGGATCTAGCAATTTGTATGAGCAGCATGTTTGGTTAATATGCACCACCTTTAATATATACCACCTTGAATGATCAACAGGTTTGGCTAACATGCATGATCAACATGTTTGACCAATGAATGACCAACATGTGTGACCAACATGTTCGACCAACATATTGTACCATCATGTTCGACTAACATGTGTGCCAATCATGTATGAAAGTTAAAATTTCATTTTATCATGCATTAGAATACACTATGAAATCCTCATATGATAAACAAAACTGTTCTGTTTGTTTTCGGTCCTTAAACTTTCGACATAATTGAATTGAGTTTTTCTTGTTTAATTCTCTTTAAAATTAAATCTTTTTTTTAATGCAACAGTATTTCTGGCTGTAATCTATTTCGCCTTAGCCTTGCCTATTTTTTTGAATATTGAAGCATTGGTAAAACTAGTATATCAGGAAAAATTATTGTCAATTTAATTATATACTTTTAACTCTACTATTATTTTAATTAATGAAAGGAATTTTATTATGTTGTTGCAGGCCGTTTTATCGGAAATGTTTTATACCGTATATAAGCACTAGTTTTCTGATTATATGCATACCAAAACTATATAAAAAATTATTATAAATATAAACTTATACAATTTTAAAATGAACTTAAATAAAGTGAATATATTTTGTAATTTATTCAAAATTGTAATTTTAATATGAATATTATTAAAAATACATAAACATTTTTATATTTATAATTTTTGGCGCATGTACTTACTGAAATTAAATAATGAAAACCAGTTTACGATTTAATATTTTTCAATAATTTCCAAGATCGTTTCATCAATATATTGTGAAATTTTATAAATTCCATTCAGATATTGTATTATGTAAATATAATTTTATGTTAATAATAAACATTAATTTTTAAAGATCGTTTTAATTAATAAAATTGTCATTTATTGGGCTGACATTCTTATAGTATTAATTATAGTATTTTTTTAGTTTGCCGGCGACATTTACTTAATTTTATGTTCTTGTTTTTTCTGTCACCTACAAGTTTATTTATAATTGTAAATATTCATTACAGAAAAAAAAGAAGAAAATTAGAAAAAAAGTTTAACAACTTTATTGAAAAATAAACCATAATGTTAATTCTTTGTTTTAGATTTTCTTTT